CCCTATAAGAGAGAAAGATGAGAATTAGATATAAGAGATAAGTTGTAAATATTTTGGGTAGAGACCATCCATTTTTTATAAGCTTTGAACAAGATTAGGGTTTCTTAGGATTTTCCTTGGCTTGCCTCTTCTTGAGATTGAATATGAACCATTGATCTTGGGTGACTTGTGGGGTGAGAGATCTGAGCCATTCATTCCATAGATGGGCCATCAACATTATGGAAAGTGATAGAACCTTTATCCTCATTTCCTAAACTATTTTATCATCAATAGAAATTAAATAAATTAAATATAATCAAAATATTATGCTTATTATAAAATAACACAAGTCCCCTCAATCTTTCCACAAAATCTTTTAAAGATATATCAAGTCAGCATTTAGTCAATATCTTCCAACCATATGGTCACAAGCCATATCACTAAAAAATAGAAAAGAGAATAAAGGGTGGGGCGTGCCACCCAAGGGAGGTACTCATGGGCCTCACCATCGAGAAATATGGTGGGTCCATGGGTACAATGGGCCCCAATGATATTTTTCATATATTTAAAATTAATAAAAGAATTTTAAAATATTATTTGAATATTTAAATTATTATAAAATCAATATCTTTAATTTTATAAATCAATTTTTTTAAAATAAAATATCTAGGGGGTTCATAAAAATTCAAATAATAATTCTAAAATAATTTCTATCATAAAAAAAAACACAATTAAATTAATTTGATGAGAAAATGATCTATATAGTTTAGGAATTGAATCAACAATCATGGGGTACTCTACCTTCAATTGTGGACTACAGACCACGACTTGCTTTATCAGACCGACCCAATATTTACCATGAACCACAGTTCAAGTAGGGGGTCATTAGCGAGTCACCAAAGTCTGGCCGATGAGCTTAGAGGTTGCAATATCAGTTTGTAGATTACAGGTCTTCCCTTAGAGATGAGTCAAGGTCACCTAGACTTGATGTGATGACAGCTCTATGTCGTATAGGGGTATCTCTCGCACATACATACACTTCACTCTGAAGGTGGCTTACTTGCTTTCTCGAACAATCTATCAATATGCATGCCATGTGATGGCATATAGATGAGGCTTTGGCCCCCGTCTCTGTAGTCACCATCACACACAAGGGTCACACAGTCTACCAGCTCACTCATCCGGGCATATGCTCCGACCTCATCAAGAGATGGGCCATTAGACCATTCTCGGTTTGTTCATATGCCCAGGTAACATGGATTTTTTCCAACCGACTGGCCTAGATCATCAAACATAGTTCGGTATCTGCAAACATCATTTACATAGTATGGTCTCTCATTGAGTTCATGTTCCACTATATCATTTTACAAGTACTTATAAAGCCTTTAAAAGTCACATAAACCCAACACTTTGAAATTAAATTGACCTTCTTATTAATGGAAAAGGGATAGGGGCCCCATCCCCACTAATTTATGCAAAAGAAAAAAATCAATCCATATGGTAAAATGTTCAAAAATTCATCTCTCATAGGTATTTTGATAAATTTTTTAAAAGGTAGCCAGGTCAAATGAAAATTTAAAAAGAATTATAATGTTAATGGATATCTTTTGGAACTCCGCCACAACTGATCCCAAGCCAGTCATGCCAGTCCCAAGCCTGGATGAAGGAAGAGGGTACCAACAAAAAATTTTGCCACATCTTTTCATGAACCTTGAACCTATTAGTGACTTGTAGCCTAATCGAGAGCATGTCCCTTGCGAGAGTAAAATCACAAAACAAGATTCATTTAGCTGACCTTAAATAGTTGGAGTAAGGCTCAAATGACGATGATAATGATCTTTTAGGCTCTTTGAAAATTTAATAAAATGCCCATGGAAAGTGAACTATTATTATAACTATGTGCAACTATTCCAAGCTCATGTACTTTTTTATAGGTATTTTAAAATTAAATAAAAATATTTTTTATATATTAAACGGGAAGGGGACTTATTTTTTTTGACAAGTGTTTTTTTTCTTCTTCTTTTATTATTTTATTTTTAAGTAATTCGTGCTTTTTATTAGTTTTTTTTTTTTTAATGACACCTTTTCTTATTTATTATGATAACTCTTTTGTCATTAATATTTTTAAAAAGTATCATATAAAAATTTATATTTGTACATTACTTCAAAAATATTAGAAACATTATCAAATATAATTCCAATTATATAATTATCTAACATAATGGCAAATTCGTATGTAAAATATATTTAAATTTATATGTATAATGTATAAACGTATACATTATTGTGATATTTATTGTAGTATTAATGTTTGGCAATGGTTACACTTTTTTTTAGCTCTCATTCTATTTTAACAAAATTAGATTTTTTTACGTGTGTTTGATTTATTAGATTTTATTATTACTACTTATTGTATTAAATGAAATTTCTAAGATTCTGTATATTGCATGGGCTGGTAGTAAATGTTAAATTGTTCATCTCTTGAAGGTAATATATGTGGTAAATTTTCCTATATTCTTTAAAAGAAATTAGTAAGAAACTCCAAAATATTTTTTCCGAAATGGTATAGTTTTTCCAAAAAGGTGTATTTTTAGGATTACTGTTTAGATATTTTGTAAAAATGAGTAGGGTAAGGGTGCAGTTTGCATCGCGGCTCTAAACAATCAAATTAGAGCCTACCTTCAAATAGTGTTGAGAAATACGGTTTCAATACTAGAAATATTTGTGATAGCCTTTAAATATATTTTCACCTTTATTTATAAAAATTTAAAGCTAAAAAAATAGTGTAGATCGATATATTTTTGAAAACTTGAAAATCTTGAAAGTAAATGATCCAAAAATGTGTTACAAAATATACTACTTCCAAAACTTGAAATCCATTTTTTTCCCATGTCCATGTATCTTGATTTCGAGATGATCAATTTGAGGATGTTTGGGTATCAAAACAACCTCTTCTAGTGAAATTTTTGATGTAGGCTCCAATTTGATTGTTTAGAGCCTCTGCTCTATATAAATTTTTTAAATTTTTTGCTTTAATTATTTCGCTTTCCCTTCGCTGCTAACTGAACTTTTCGTCTCTGTCCCTCTTCGAGCCTCCCTTCTTTGTGCTCTCTCTCCAAGCAAGCCGTGCCGATAACCTTTGCGATCAAATCTGCTACCTCTCTCTCTCGGAGCAACAAACTTGGAACAACTTTGTGCAAAACTACTACATTTATCTCTCTTGGAGCATCTAACTTAGAGTAACCTCTCTCTCCTTATTCGAAGTCAGCATCTTTCTCGTACTGTGTTCAAATAAGAGCAATATCTGTCTCTTAAAAAAAAAAAAGGGTTTGACCTATTTTTCGATGAAATAAATCGCTTTCATTTTTTCTGATGTCCTGTAAAAGTAGGGTTTGGTAGGTAAAAGATTCTCACAACAGTAAACATTTTACAGGCAAAAGATATGGACATGGATTTGAGTAGGTAAGATTATGTTGATTTGATTCGTTCTTTGTTACTATAGTTTCCATAAAAAATTAGTAAAGTTATAGGTTGATTTGACTCGTTCATGTTATTTTGGCTTACATAAAATCAATAATTAGTCTCTATAAGAGTTTCTATTGTTTGATGCTTCAAATGTATGTCAACAATCAACAATTTGTGGCAAAGATGGAAATTTTTTTTGGGAAATTGTTTTTTTGTGTCTTCTCCATTGACCAGATTTCATAGATTAAAATCTTTTTTAGCACTGTTGTAGGATGAAATTTGCACGGACTAATTGTTTTATGTATTGATCTTTACCGTCTCTCTGTATTATTCATAAGTCTCTTGCATGTGGTGGATCTAGAAGGCCCTATCTATTCTATCACAATTGTTCTCAAACTGGAAATGAGTTCATATTCTCAATCGTTTTTTTTTGTTTTGAGAGAGGTACTAACTGCAATCTTTAAAACATCCCATTCATCTTGGTCAATTTCAATCTTTTGATCTCCTTGTTGAATGGGGGATGCTTGCAATTGATTTTTTTTTTTTTTTTCGAGTCAGTCCGGACAAAATTGTGTTGTTTTTTTATATTAAGAAAATCAATTTTCTTCAATATTTATGTAAATATTGGTATTTCTTGAATCTAATTATATTTTTAGTAATCTTTATAAAAGGTATTTGAAGTAATTAGGAGAAACTTACCTATCTTTGTTTCAGTGGTTGCTTTCATGTTATTATTTCAAAAAATATAAACTTATCTTTTGTAATGTAATGGTGTTGTTGTGTGGTGGCAATATGGAATGATTAGCTTTCAGAGAATGGACTTGATGATAATATTTTTCAATATTTATATAAATATCGATATTTTTTTAATTTATTTATATTTTTGGTATTATGTTAGATGAATGAAAGGATTCTTATTTAATTATAATTTTTTTTAAAAAAACACTCCATTACCCATATCATATCAATGAAATACATAATAAACAATAAACAATATTACAAGTAGTTTTCAACTTTCCTATTTTCAAACGGTAAATGTTTTTACGCTTTCCCTACAATGTAAAAGTTCTTTCCTCCCCTACCATCCAGCCGTCAAATTTTGATCAAGCGAGCCACTTACCGTTTGATCTTAGATCCAACGTCTCAAAGTATTTTATTTTTAGTTTTTTTTATACAAATTATACGAATATGAAATTTGGTATCTGCCATGTTCTCATTGAAGTGCATCTATAAAAAATATTAAAAATAACTTTTCGATAAAATATAATGATCAAAATACCTCTTGAAACTTTCAGAGATATTTTGATCATTTTATTTTATTGAAAATATTTTTTATATATTTTTCGCTTGTACTAATTGAATAGAGGAATGGATGTCTAAAATTTGGTGTCCAAATAATTTATAAAAAAAATTAAAAGTAAAATACTATAAAGACGAGGCATTGTGATTGGAGCAATCTTAACCCTCCATTCAGAATGAACGGTTGGATAGAACTTCCAATGCTGTAGACGAGGAAGCATCGGCGGTTGGATAGAACTTCCTACAGAAGGAAGCATGGAAAGCTTGCCCTTCTCAAACAGGTGAAATTACCCTACCAGTTTTCAACTGCATTCCACAATACAGAAAGTTAGCAGCAGGGGTGATTCCCAGGACGGACACTGCAGTGAAAGTTCATGAAACGCCTGAGAGAGAGAGTTTTCTCGTCTCTTTTAGAGAGAGCCTATTAGGCTTGTTCGTGTTGCCTAGACAGAGAATATTTGTGAGGCTTATTCGTGTTACTTAGAGGGAGAGAGAAACTATGGAGGGAGAAGAAGGGAAGCAGCAGCCTCACCTTGTCCTAGCGCACAAGCTATTTCTCTTGCGCCGTCAAGATGTGCCCGATATCGAGAAAGTTAGTCTCAAAGAAGAGGTCCTTGCTTCTCTTGTAGCAGATGGTAAATCCTCTCTCTTTCTCTTTCTTACAAACCCTAGTTTTCCAATTCCTTTGTTGCTACCTGTGTAAATGTGCTATTTGATACTTGCATTGTCTGATTTGATTCTCTCTGTCTATGATTTTAGATATGGCGCTGCTCTATGAGTCCGTCTCTGTTGAATTGGGTTGGGAGATTGATCATGGGATATTGGCCACCATGAGATCTAAGATTGATGATGAACTCAAGAAACTTGATGAAAGGTGAGCTTTGTTCTTAAACTTACCCTTTTGCTCAATTTCTCCTCGTCTAATGCCATCTCTTTTGATTTCTACAAATTGCTTCTGGGGATAGAATGAAAACCTGTGTATGTTTTTTTTTTAAGTAAAAGCGACTGTATTAATAGACAATAGCCATATACAACTTTTGACATGGAAAGCGGAATGGGTAGAACTGTAAAAAATGGAGATCAAAGAAACAAAACAAAATCCCCATAGCAACATAATGGGGCGACTACCATGAAATAGCTTAAAACACAAGCACTATGTAGCATTAGATACAAAATTGTGGGAGTTAGCCTCCTCTTTGCAAAAGTAATCAGCAACAAAATTTCTTTCCCTATACATGCTTGAAAACAACCATCAATGAGTTAGTGATGTCAAATATTTGGTCCAAGATTGGCTCTAGTTCCTGCAGGGTGGAGGACATTGGGCACATTGGCTAGCGAAAGGAGAACTCCTACGCTGTAGATGGCCCTGAGTTAGGAGCTCTGTTGTTCACTGTGATCCAGCAAAAGGCCTCGATTTTTAATGGAGTATGGTGAACTCAGGCTATAGTAGCAAGAGTGGAGGGTATAGAACACTGTTTTGCAAGGTATAGAGCATGCTAGAAGGAACGGACTAAGAAGTTCAAGTGGATCTTATGAAATGAATTTATGTTATGGTTTGGAAGCTAGTGCTAGAGTTCAAGTGCTTTTCTGAGAAACACCATCTGAGATTTTTAGAAAAAAAAACTTATGTTAGTCTATTCTTTAAACGGTTAGAAAAGTATTAAAAAAAATCCCCTTACTGGTGCAGGGGGGCTTTGAAGAGAGAGAGAGAGAGAGAGAGAGAGAGAGACTTGGGGTTTCTGGATTCTTTGAATTTGTGTGCATACTAAATATATATAAATGCAACATAATACATGAATACACGTACCACTTATACCTGCTGTTCTACATTTGACCCTGCGAACAACAACCATTAATACCAAAAAAAAGAAAAGAGATTTGGATGTTAATCAGAGTTGAGGCTTAAAAATGGATGGACTTTCTTCTTTCTCTCACCTCATTCTTTCCCCTTCTTCTTACTCTAGTTTCACACCCCTCATCTCCACCGGCACTCCTTTCTCCATTTCCCCCTCCTTAACCCTCCCAGTATCTACCTGACCACTTGCCACTCTTCTTTATCTGTCTTCCCTGAATACCTTGAAACAATCCTTTCATCCTTCTTCCCTCTTTTCTCACCTCTGTTGCTCTCTTTCCACCAATACTATGTTTCTCTTTTTTCCAGGGCCTTTCACTGGATGATGAGCGATCTGCCCGGCACAGCTATTTCTTCTTGCTGCCTTCGCCTTTTCTTTTTTCACCACCTTCTTCTTCTTCCCCAAATTTGGGAACCCTGTACTCTGAGCACCCGGCTTGTGGGCTGCCTTATTATCACATCATGAGAATTTTGTTTTATGGGCGATTGTTTTCACTTTCTTATATTTTCTGTGCCTTTCTCCTTCCCCTTCCGACCTCGGGATTTTACTTTTGTACTCTGAGCCCCCAACCTGTGAGCTGCCTGTTTTCCACTTTTTTGGTTTTGTAGATTTCTTTTCTACAATCAAAAGTTAACAGTATCTTCAAAAAACAACAGGAAAAACATTTTGAGGGCAATGTGTGTGAAATTCTCTTCTAGATACAGATCATTTAGTAACCATCAGAAAAGATAAGTGAAAATGAAGTACAGGTCTGTTGAGAACAATGCATTCCAAAATTCTCTCTGCTCCTCCCTACCCACGCGCACAAACACACACAAAAAAAAAGCGAAATAAGAAAATAAATTAACACTTTGTCCAAGTTTTTTGAACTGTCATAGATTATCAAGTATCCTCCAACAAGTATGTTGCTAATCAAATAGGTTGGTGGGCTTGCTGCCAAAGAGTGTGTCAACAGATCCTCTCTGCTCACCTCATGGTCTCAACCCAAGGCCTATGTGCTTAGGCTTCTTTTCCTGGTCTTTTTGAGCGGTTCAAGTCGTTCAGTTTGAAAGCTCTTTTTATCCTGGTATACTTGTACATCCTTACATAAATGAAAGTACAACACAATTAACTATAGGAAAAGGTGGTGCCAAATTCTCATTCATCCTTCCTCCTATGCTTGATTTATCGTTGTCGTATTATTAAAGGAGTAACTGTTTTCGAATTTTCCTATTCCATTCATTGCTTCGAATGAAATTCTTGTTACTGATTTGATTCAGCTTTTTACAAGCTAGATGGAAAAGATTGCAAAGGTGTAACTTCTGCTCGTTTCAGTGATGGTTGGTGGATACTATGACTCCATACTGTAGTAATAAATGGCAAAACGCAATCCTAGAGGGCCTCCACTTTATGTATTACTTTGGTCAATAAAGATGTGATGACATTGCCTTGTTTAAGGTAGCTGCCTAACTGACTTACAGCAGTGACATTTGAGAAATACAGTATGCTTGTATGGAGCCAAGAACAAATGAAGCAATAAGAGCAAAGTTTCACCTAAAAAAAGAAGCAACAAGAGCAAAGTTTAATAAATGAGGTGGACATGATTTTGTTTGTTAGGAGTGCATTCTGAATACTCTATCTAAGCTCTTCTACCTCCTTCAACTCTGTGGATCAATGGAATGCTATGCATAGTACTGTTTTTATCTCAACAACGTGTGCTTATTCCAAAGTTATAGCTGTACAGAGCTAGACCAAATTGGAAAGACATTGACGAGGAGATGATCTCTAGTATCGTTAACAATCTAATTATTGTGGTCTCTAGACAAATTTTGAAAGAACTATTATTGCTAGGAATGATATCGAGATTTTTGGTATACAATCACTTGGCTATTGAAGTGTAGGCGAAAATTGCATTATCAACTATCAATATGCTTTGGCTATATTCAGGATTGGTAAAGTTAGTCTGCCACTTTCATTGTGTCATTCTCTCAGACTCATTTGTTTATTATCCTATCTATAAAAAGCTAGTCCTAGCTTCTTACATAGAATTTGTCTTTTGGTGATAGAAGGGTGACCTACTCAAGAAAGGAGCTTCTTGGGAAAAGGACTAAGTGGTTGTGACTATCTTATGGTAGTTGATTTATATATTTAACATAGGAAATGTATACAATGAGACCATTTACTTTTGATACAATGAGGTCACAATCATCATTGGCTGTTGGATTTGATATCGGGTGGTTGAGGATGTATCATTGTTTGGGCACCAAGTCCAAAAACATTTCTCAATTGTTGTGTCGCACTTTTATCTATTGGATTTCATGTCCAATAGCTAAAGTGATTGTGACCTCCTTGTATAAAAAATAAATAGTCTCATACTATAAATAGTCTCACAGTGGTGAGACTAGTTCTGCTCTATGGGGCGGAATGTTGGGCCGACAAAAAACAATATACCCATAGAATGAGTATAGCGGAGATGAGGATGTTGAGATGGATGAGTGGCAAGGCAAGAAGGGATAGAGTTCGAAATGAATCTATTCAAGAGAATTTAGGCGTGGCAACAATAGGCGATAAAATGAGAGAAAATAGACTTAGGTGGGTTGGCCATATGTGGCGCCGACCAAGTACAATATCTGTTAGGAGGTGCGAGTTATTTCAAGTGGAAGGACTGAAAAGGGGTAGGGGGTAAGCCCAAAAGGACGTGTTTGGAAGTAGTCCGAAAAGAAATGGGGACTAATGGCCTCACTGGGGATATGGCTTTTAATAGAGTAGAATGGAAAATCAGGATTCATATAGCCGATCCCAATTAATTGAGAAAATGCTAAATGATGATGATGATGATAGTATTCAATGCCTTTTAACATATGGGATCCCCCTACATATTAATATTAAGAAAAATATAGAAGGCCTTAATGATGAATTGAATCCGTCATTTAATTTAGTGGATGAAACTGTTACTAAGCATGCTTTGATTTTAAAAATTGCACGGGTTTCATTTCATTAAGATTTTTGGATACTACTCCCATGGAATAAATATGATCTGATGCATGTGGAAAGATGAACTGTATAAAGAGTGAGACATTTATATCATCAAGTGTGTGATATGTTATGATCCAGCGATAATACATTTTGTGCAAAGGACCTTCCTATCTGATAGAAAAGGATCCCTTGATTTTGAACGGATCTTACCAAGGATCATAAATCCTAAGTGAATTGATTGAATACCTGAACTCAATGGAAGCTATTGATGGTCCAGGAATTATGTGCAGGGCGAAAAGACTGTGCATGTCAATCTGTGACTTGCAAAAGTCAACTCTACTCAGACCGTGAATAAGAAGCATGCCCTATTTTTTGAAAGACTCAAAGCCACTTGTATGACTCACACTGTGAATGAGTAACTCAACTAAGTCTTTGTAAGACTTAGTCCAATGGCCATTGTTGCAATGTAACTTTAATGAATTGTCCAGGTTGTGATCCTTGCACCTGACTTGTCCATATGGGTCAAAGTTGGACTTGAGTCGGAAAAGTTGCATGAGTCAACTAGGCTCGTCAATGGGCGAGTTCTAGAATTAAAACTCAGTATGTGTTTTGAGTTTTTCTTACCAAATAATATTTATGTTGATTTGACTATTGGATGGTTTCTTCCTACGTGATAGTGTTTATATGCACATCTTGGACGGAAAATTTGAGATTTTCTGTTTGCAAACTAAGAAAACCTCATTAGTAAAAAATATTGACCGTCAGATGAGGAATATTTGAAAATTTGGGTCCAGCCAAATTGCAATTCACAGAGGATCAATTTTACGTCCTTTCCTTTGTAAATTACCAGCTGCACGGGTTAGATCTCATCAAAGACCTCAATAAAATTATTTTTTTGTATTTTTATTATAAAAATTGAATTAAGACGAATCTAAGAAGACAAAACCATTAAAAGCATAAAAGAGAGCAAAAATAATTAAACGAACGAGAGGAGAGAGAGCTTACCAAATTGGGGTCATAAGCTTAGCACTTAACGTTGGGGCTGGATCTAAGTTCAAAAGTCAGTCACCTAGGCGGCTGGGAGGCCTCACCATTCCGCACTAGGACTATGCAGCCCAGTGCGGGAAAATTTGCTGACTTTGTTTATCCCCAACAGTCTATTGCCATGAGAGAGATATGGACATGGTGGAGAGAGAGAGGAAACATTATAGAGAGAGAGAGAGTGTAGAGAGATAGAGAGAGGAAACAATGTGAAGAGAGAGAGTGAGAGAGATAGAGAGAGGGGAATGTGCATTGAGGAGTTTTATGAGGAGTGCTGTCAATGGAGAGGGAGGGAAGCCATGTGGACAAAAGCAGTATGGTGTCATACAACGTCTCACAAGAATACTCTCTAGAGTGTTACATATTTCGAGTTGTTTTTGGGGTTGGGGTCTTGTAGCCCCTCCTGCGTTAGGTGGCTTAAGGCCTCGTTCATTTATTTTCTTGCCTTGCTTTTCTCTTTTTTACCCCTACTGTGCTAGGTGGCTTTCTCTCTTCTCCCTCTCGCTCTCTTACTTTGGTCACCTCTTGGTGACTTTTGTTTGCCTCTCTTTTCCATCAATACAATGTTAACGGTATAAAAAAAAAGAAGAAAAAGAATACTCTCTAGAGTGTTTACTTGTACCACTTTTATTTTAAAAAATGAATGAAGTTCAAATAATTTAAAGAGAAAAGGAACATAAAAAGAAGGGCCTTACTTTGAAATGACAACCTTGTTAATGTAAAGGTGATGGAATTACATATGAGACTCTCCTTTCTCCAAAAGATTTTATTTATTTATTTATTTATTTTTATGTATATATATTAGCCCCCACAGCCCGCGGCCACCTCCGTCTTCTTGAACATGAGGCTGGATCAAATTGGCGGAATTGGTATGTTAGCCTTCTCCAACTTAAAAGAGAAACTTTAATTGAGCTAGAATCTTGAAGAATCGAAGATTGGAAGGAAAATTTAAGGTTGAATTGATATAAGCCTGGAAGCCTAGGTTTAATATTGAATTTAGGATTTTCTTGGTAATTGGAGCTAATTAAGGCTACGGGGACCTAAACTAGGTTTTTTGGAACCTGCAGATGAGCTAGGGTTTGCTGGGACTGAGAGAGGGCTTTTGGAAACTAAGCGAAGGCTCTGAACTTGCTTTCTTAATCTCTCCTCTCTAAACTTGATAGCCTGGGTATTTGTAGTGCATGATGGGCCGATGTTGGGATCAAATCACGTTAAATTCATCCAAATTCTATAGCACATGCTTTTAGAAGCTCCTAGAAGAAATTTGGCACAGTTTGTGCTGCACGCCCCCTGGTATTCACGTGATGTGCAGTGTATAGCCTGGTTATGTGTTATGGTGGCGGATACTGTGTTATAACAGTGCAGGCAGGGTTGTGTTTTATTATTTTTGCATTTTGTAGTGTTTTTGCCTTATCTCTCTATCGGAATGTCATAATCACATGATTCTTGGACAGTTGGAAAGCTGATGAAATGCTCTTTATTTTGACAAAGTTCTTACTATTTGAGCTCAAAGTGGCCAATTTGGAATTCCAATTGCAAGTGGATTGACTCATATCGTTCTCTTTTGGCATCCTGCAAGATTGTTTTCCAGATCTTCAATAGAACTTGGATAACTTTGGATGTGTGATGCTTATCCGAAATGTGCGATTTGAGAATTTTGCACCATCTCCACTGTTAAATTTTCAATAGAACATCCGATTCAAATGATTTCTGATCTGTTGGAAAACTCTTGGAGTCCTCTCCCTAATTCACCCTACTTTTTACATGAATTGAGAAAGTTACAAAATTCCAACCATACAATTCAAGGTTCGGATTAGGATTTTGGTGCTGTTTCAAGGTTATTTTTGTCCAAAGCAGAGCTAAAGTTCTTAGGATAGGCTTATAATGAATTTGGGGCCAAAATCGGGGCTGTGGTTGTCCAGCAAATTTTAAATCCTTTACATTCCAGTGCATCCCTCTAAAGTTCATGGAGTACATTGGCTGCATACCTAACACAACCCACCTCTTTTACCTGTGCTTTGGACAAGTTAAGGGAAAGTTTAAGGTCTTCATCCTTCTTAGGCTCTTTTCTGCCATGTCTTTTACTTTTTTCATTTTATTTGATTTTTTTTCATTTTTCTGCAGATAGGCTTTAGAACAAGGCGTAACTTTGAACTTCTTGAGGTGGTAGAGTCGCTCACATTGGTAAACTTGGTATTGGCCTATAAGACAATAACATAGATGGAAACTCGAATCTCTCACGCTCTAAAGAACTCCCGTACCAAGTCAGGACTAGTTGTGTTACTATTTTCTTCTCTCCCATGACTTCTGCCGGTATTGTACTAATTGGGCAAGTCTGCTCGGACACCCCAAGTTGGGTGTCTAACTCTGGGATCTTAAAACAAATTAAAATAAAAATAAAAATAAGAAATCTATTTGTGACATGTTTGTTTATGTGTTCTGTCATTTTGGCAAAATATCATGTGCCATAGAGAGCACATTATGTGCCATGGGGGGCACACTGTGCTGTACAGAGGACCAAACTAGAAATATAGGATTTCTTTGGTATGTGAACCATCTCTCTCAAATTGTGTATTTGAATTGAGCGATTCTTGAAGAGATTGGAAGCCTATGGGATATTGATTCACAAAGCGGTCCACCTAGCTCCTAGGCGGCCGCCTAGGCGAACTAGGGGGCCTCGCCGCACTACCCAGGCCTGGGTGGACCGACTATGGGGCCTGTCCTTGGGCCTCTGCCTAGTATCCATTGGGGTGCCTAGGGGACTGTGCCAGTCTAGGTGCAAAAATACCCATTGGGTGGGGCATTTTTTTTTGGGTTACAAAAAATGTATGAATATGCATTTTTTATACAAAATTTGGACCTAAACCAAGATTACTATACACCTCTTGCTACCTTTTGAACCTGGGCAGCCTAGACCCCTCCGGGTGCCTAGGTGCCACCGGCTGTTTTTTGGAACACTGCTATGGGATTTCCTATGTTTTAGGAAGGAAATTAGTCTAAGGGTCATTTTCAAGGTTTCTAGGGTGTCAAACTGGTATTGGCAGTTCCTTTAAGGGTGATGGATAAAAATGGGTCTAGGATGGCTAGGGTAAGGTATTTCCTAGGTTTTGCATTCTAAACATCTTTGAAATTCGACTGCCAAAATGGAGTAACTATTGGTAGCATTCTTGTATGAATTGGGTGAAGAGTGGGGTTCAATTTCCATTTTAGAATTGTTTTAAAATTCCTGACACAAGAATTTGATAAACTGGCTGCATCTTTCTAAGTTAATTGTTTGACTTAGCCAGTTAATCTGAATTTGAGTTTTTAAATCGCTCATGTCAAATACAAAGACCACTTAAATCAGTTACACTTATTCAAGGTGATCAAATTTGCAATTGACAAAATGTTAAAGATTCTTAACTTGGTCATGGTTACTTTGCATAGGTTGCATATTGAAGTCGATTGGTTTTGCAACATGAGTTTCTTCTTGATATTCTATGACAAGCTTGGATATGATGGTCTTTTTTTCAATTGGATTGCTGGTCATTTGTAGACTATGTTGCTTGCACTGCATATTCTTTTCTGTCCATATTGGATGATTACTTACATTGGATCCATGTTATAAATCCACTTCTCGTGTTATCTTTTCTCAACTTGCATAAAGCTGCAGCATTTACCCTGTGCCTATGCAGAATTGCTGATGCCGAAGAGAATCTGGGTGAAAGTGAAGTGCGAGAAGCTCATCTAGCTAAGTCCCTCTGTTACATTCGCATCAGTGACAAAGTATTGCCTCTCTCAGTTTTACTTGAGCTAGCTATTTCTCTCAAATTTACACCTTTTAAGCTTCTTCTTGCCTAAATTTTGGCATGCCTCAGGAGAGGGCACTTGAGCAACTCAAAGTGACAGAAGGGAAAACAGTTGCTGTTGGTCAAAAGATGGATCTAGTCTTCTACACTTTACAGCTGGGATTCTTTTATATGGATTTTGACCTTATTTCCAAAAGCATTGATAAGGCAAAGAAGTAAGTGTATTTTGAATATTTTCACAAATTTTCAGATTGTTTAATTTTCTGAGTAAATGCTAAAGGTTACCAAGACTTTTTTTTTTTCCTTTGTTTCTGAATGGCCAGCCTATTTGAGGAGGGAGGTGACTGGGAGAGGAAAAATCGGTTGAAGGTGTATGAAGGTCTGTACTGCATGTCTACGAGGAATTTCAAGAAAGCAGCAAGCCTTTTCTTGGATTCAATCTCAACCTTCACAACATATGAACTTTTCCCTTATGATACTTTCATTTTTTACACTGTCCTCACCAGCATCATATCATTGGATAGAGTTTCTCTGAAGCAAAAGGTATGTGCACTTCAGTTGATTATTTTTTGTTTTCCTTGAAAAAATGTTTGTTGAAGTTGTAATAATTTAGAATATGGCAGGTAGTGGATGCACCAGAAATCTTGGCAGTGATTGGAAAAATTCCTTACCTTTCTGAGTTTCTCAATTCGCTTTACGGATGCCAGTACAAATCATTCTTTTCTGCATTTGGTACGTAGCATCTTTTATCAAGACCATTTGTAGTGATCTTAGTTGGTGTAGAGCTTCTTATAGCTAGCCTTAGGCTCATGTATGAGAATGCATGAAGAAGGGAAGGAATTCAACCGGGAGATATGCAGGAGTTATAATGCTTAGATTATGATCATGTTTTCTTAACTCTGTAAATCCTTTTCAGCTGGTTTGACAGAGCGAATAAAACTGGACCGATATCTGCAGCCACACTTCCGGTATTACATGAGGGAGGTGCGCACTGTGGTTTATTCCCAATTCTTGGAATCATACAAGAGTGTAACAATGGAAGCTATGGCCAAGGAATTCGGAGTAACCGTGGACTTCATTGATGTGTAAGTGTTTACTCATTCATGGCAGTTAGTACTAGAGATCAAATAAAAGGTTCTTAAAAACATAGAAGGCTTCATGGACTATATATATATATATATATAATACCATGATAGTTGCGAATTGGACAAAGGAGGATGGAAGCTTTTGTGGAAAAATAAATAAATAAATGCTTACTATGGAAAATTAAATTGTCAAAAAGAAAAGGGGGAGGATTGTTATACTATGCAAGTAAGGCACACCTCTAAATTTTGCTGGAGGATGGAACTCTATTGTCAAAATCCTTATGATGGTTTGAAAATTCATGTTCAACTTTAATTATGAAATTTAAAATTTCAAAATAAATAGTACGGATCAAGCAGATCTATAAACAATTGAAAATATTAAATATATACAGTCCAGATAATTTTCTATAAGATACGCTATTTTTAAGACTTGAAATTTCCTTTTTGATTTTCATAATATCCATACATCTCAAGGTTGAAATGATGATTTAGAAGGTTTTCCAACTTCAGAACACTCCTTTTCTACTAGATTTTTGAGGTGTACCATAATTCTATAGTATGATGTTGCAATCTTCTATAAACTTTTTCCAAAAGAAAATTAAACAAAAATATACGTATGAGAATTTAAAAGGTTGTGGTGTCTGTGAACTAGGTTTTATGATGATGTTATCTTTTTAAATGTGAAATATGAATAATATGGAAAGAAAGGTATTTAATGACTAATTATCGTGGTAGAGAGAACTGGCTCCTTTTGAATGTGCTTATCCCCAGTTTTGTGTGTTCTGCTTCTGTTTCAGGGAACTTTCACGGTTCATAGCTGCTGGAAAACTCCACTGCAAGATTGACAAAGTGGCCGGAGTTTTGGAAACAAATAGGCCAGACGCAAAGAATGCCCTTTATCAGGCAACCATCAAGCAAGGGGACTTCCTGCTCAACAGGATTCAAAAGCTCTCTCGAGTGATTGACCTTTAGGTTTCTATGCTGTTTTGTTTCTTCTACTTGTTTAGATGCTGGTTTTTGTTTTATTTATCATGTGATGGACGTGAGGGAAAAGTGTAAGGCTGAGGAGGCTGAGGAGCTTCTCGGGTTTTGAAATCGTACTCGTATTATTGCTCAAGTTTGTAACTTATGGGGTCAATGACCGGTCAGAAGCCTCTAGTCTATTTTCAATCCTCTAAAGCAAGAAAGAATCAATGCAAAGGAAAGAATAGGTTATTGTTTAAGGTTAACTTTCTCAAAAAGAAAGAATAGGTTATTGTTGTTCTTTCAACCCATGCATTAGTGTAGGTTTTGGATTTTTATCTCTACTGGAATTTGATTGGAATGTATTCTAGAGGATATTGTTATTTGGGCAAAGATTGAACCGTTGTTTACAGGAATCTTTTTTATTTTTTGTTTTTTATTTTATTTGTTGGATGGTTTGTTGGGATCAATTGTTTAGGATGACCTTAATGGAATGGGAAGAAAGGAAGACTTGCTTGTATTTTTTTGTTACGGTAAATTTAGAGGGGATGACGAGCCCTTACCCGTTTTTAAAATTGTTATTTGTTTTTGAAGGCTTTACGTGAGAATGGAAGCTTAGACTTTAGCTAGGGCACAAGTAGTGCTACCACGTTGACTCCAACTCCATTCTCAAGACTTGCTTGTTCAATATCAAATGGTAATTACTTTTGAGTGGAGGAATAGCGTTTTTTTTTGTATATGGAGGTCCAATTATTCTTATCATTTAAATTTCAAAATAGGTAGTTGTAAGAGTGTTATTAAATAGATAGTTTCAAAGAAAAAATTCTCAGACTTTGTGATTTATTTCAAGCCATCCAATTTGGCATCTAATGAGTGAGAATGATTGTGACTTTTATATATAAAAGATAAATGGTCTCTTTGTAGACAATCCCACTTAGAAAAAGTTTCTAAAAACTGATTATGTTTTAATAGAAGAAAAAAGTTTGTATAAGGTAGTAACTTGTAAAAATAAGGTTGCATTACTTTAAATTTTTAATTAGAAGGTGTAGATTTGACACTATTTTAAAAGACATGTTAGATTTTGATATTGGGAAAGCTTTTTATGTTTCTCCTACAACATAGAAGTTCTATCCTTCTTCTTATCCAACCGTCCCTTTTTGCCCCAATCATAATGTCACGTCTCTACACTATTTTATTTTTAATTTTTTTTTCTACAAACTGTTTTGACACCAAATTTTGGACGTCTATTCCTCTATTAAACTCGCACTAACGAAAATTATATATAAAAAATTATCAATCGAATAAAATGTCCAAAATACCTTTCAAAATTTCAAGGGTTTTTTTGGTCATTATTTTTTATCAAAAAATTATTGTTAACATTTTTTATAAGTGCGCCCCAATGAGAAGATAGCACGCACCAAATTTCTTATTAAGAAAAATTGTATTAAAAAAATTAAAAATAAAATACTTTGAGACGTCGGATCTAAGACCAAACGGTGAGTAGCTCTCTTGATAAAAAATAGATGGCTGGATGGTAGGAGGAGGATAGAACTTCTATCTTGTAGGGGAAACATAAAAGGCTTTCCCTTTGATATTATCTTAAAAGATATATTTACATTAGCTATAATGAGCATGTCAGAAAATTGCAAGCTTCTATAAGGTTATGCTTTATATAAACCATACCCTTTATTGAACATTGTTGATTTGATTCTATAATCCTTTAGTCACAATTATATATTTTTATCAATAACGTTTTTTAAAAGTTAATCATATTATCAAATTGATAATTGTGAAAAACTTCTATTCACAATAATAAATATAAATTGTAATTATTCATAGTTAAAAAATATATATAGGAAACCTTGTAAGTAATGAGTTTTAAACAAATTTCATTTGTACATCTAAAAAATAATTATTACAAATAGGAAATGCATATAACAAGACCCCTTAATCTTAGTATAAGGAGAACACAATCATTAAACATATACAAAATCATGTGGTTGGAGATGTGTAAAGTCCAAAATAAAATTTTTCAAATATTGTGACATTTCAATAAGTCAGATTTCACATTGAATAGATAAGAATGATCGTGACTTTGTTCCAAAATTGAATTGTTTCATAGTTATATAATCCCAAATAAATATTATCAAACATATTACTAATATTTTATGGTGTGTTTGGGTAGACTACCAGACACTTTTAGTTCTAGGTTTTTTAACACCCCAGGTCGGATTTATTTCACAGCATCTACTAGCTGACCCTAAATAATTAGAAAAAGGCTTTAATGATGATGATATCCTTGTCTTCTCCGAAATTCCCCTCATTTAAAAGCAATGCAAATAAGCTCCTATATCAATTTAACCTCAATAGAAAGTACCAGTTTTGCTTTAAATCACATACAATGCTAGTGAATAATACCTTTACACGAATGATAAAACACACCCTTCCATATGCATTGTCAATTCTCTCTTAATTTTCCTTGTTCAGATTTACAACTATTTTTAGTTAAGCAGCACGTTTCTTTTCAAATTCAAATAGCTAATTTTGCTTAATATTGCATTCCTTTCATTTCAAATTCAAAACGCTAATTTTGCTTAATATTGCAATCTTTTGATTATCGGTAAAGCATTTTATCATGACAATAACGATAATGGGGTAGATTGATTTTACTGAAATAAAACGTTATTATCAAAGTGAAATTTGTCATGATAAATTACAGATAAAATAAATTTATTAGTGATAATCATCACAAAACCTACCTATTTCACTCCCCTCTGAGTAGGGGTGGCGATGGACCTGAACCTGACGGGTAGACCTGATCCTGTTTCGGGTATAAGTCAAAAAATTGGACCCGACGGTGGGGTCTAGTCGGGTCCAGATCCGGGTCTTACATTATAGTTTTGGGTCCAAGTCCGGAGAGACCCGACCTGGCCCCACCCTTTGCCACCCCTACCTTCAAGTTTTATTCACTAGCAATAAGGAGTTTCACCTCCATCCTAAGTGAAGGAAAGTGCTATCTGATGAATTCAATGGCGCGATTGGGTAGATTACTAAATTATTGTGTGGGAGATTCATCAAAATACACATAACGTTTCAATTGTCTAACATTTTATCCATTTTCTACGATTTCAAGTCAAAATCATGTCTATGTTTTGATGGGCATTTTGAAAGTGAATCAAAACAAATGGGTAGAATGTTGATAATTAATATATTAGGTATATTTTCCTAAATTTTCTTCATTTATTTTATTTTATTATTGAACACACTAGGTGGGGAGTGTTTCTTAACGCGTTCGTCTTTGTCCAATTTTTATCCCACTTATTGTAGAAAATGCTACAAATAAGCAACTAAATATGTTAAAGCTCATCGCTAAAAATACTTGTTTTGCTTTGAATCACCTTTAATGCTTGGATAGTTGGCACAAACACGCCTTATGAGACGAGTCATCATTAGAAGTTCAGAACCATTAATACTTCCTGTAAAAGGTTACAACTGCTCACTGGTAGAAGATTTTAATAGGTGACATCAGAAATCAGTCTCTGAGAGACAGATGACATCAGAATCATTGACATCTAAGAGAGGGAGGCGCTGGTGGAGAGAGATCTTATCAGTATGGGGCACCTAAGAAATGGTATATGATGGATCAACAAACTAGTCGAGTCTAAAGAATCTATTACTGTAAATGTTTTAATCCATTTTAACCAGTTAAATAACAATGCAGTTTCATACTTTGATGATAAAACCCATGGATAACTCATATATGTTGCTTTCTTATATAATACATATCAATAGAAGAGTTACGTATCCAATGAACATGAGATGAAAATGAATTAGTCACCCTAAATTAGAATGCAATTCCTCCCAATGCTATAGAAGTATGTCAAGTGAAAATGGCATTCACAATGAATCAAGATTCAAAGAGGAGAAGAACTCTTTGGAACTTGATTCATTGTCAATGCCATTTTTGTACTCAACATATTAAAGTAGCTTAGCCATAAAAAGAAATGATCCAAGGCAATTTTCTTAAAGAAACAAGAAACAAAAGATCAGGAGGCAAATCAAACAAAAAATTGCATTAACAATACCACAAACGAGGTTCTATGCCGATTCAAACAGATTAAGAAAGAAAAGGAATTAGGGCAAAAAAATTAGATTCACCCTGTTGGCTTAATAAATGAGGCAAAAGAGCACAAAAAATCAAGGTTTTAGTCACAGGCTCCCAGCTTCACCTTTCCAAATAATATATAGAAAAGAGGTTGCAACACCAGTTGTATTATCAATATAAAGTACACAGTTTCAATAGCATAGACAATGGGATGCCCTTGATTGAAGACACAAAGAGTTATTCCCATGATTTGAAGAAAAAAAAAAAGATGATTGGACCTTATTCCTATTCTATAGTCTATATTGTGAGGTTCAAATGCCATTTTTTTTTATTGTGGCATTGATTTCAGACAAGTATTTTTTGACCTCTTACCGCATTATCAGTAATAATTTCAAGTAATACCAATTAAAAAGGAAATCGGAAAGTGGAAATGTACAAGCAAAGTTGATAAATTCTTCATAGCTTGGATTAGATGATCAGCTACACACTCAACATTTAGCTAAGAACTTTGTCGGCAGAAAAATAATGTAAGAGATTTACCTAAGATAGAGTGTTATGCATCAAAGTCTGATATATGAGCGCAACACAATTTGCAAAAGTGTTGAAATTTTGTATATGGGCTAGTACATGCACTAGTCACATAAGGTAATCATCCAAGATATGAAACCCAGAACCAAGAAAGAAGTGACATTCCATTGAGCCTATGCATGTACAAAAAAGTAAACTTTCAACAAACATGTGACACATGACAGCACCAGTAATAAATGATGAAGACACAATATAACAAGAATTTAAGCAACAAATGGTGTATATTTAGCTTTCCATCTACGACATACATGTAAAAGACCGACAGATTTATAGAATAGGCATAAGTTCTAATTTATGCTTTATATTGATAGGATCTATTATTGACTACCAAATGTGTAGTGTATGTACATGCTTGTATGTATTCATATTTCCAAAAAAAAAAGAGTGTGTTCACAGACAAACATCTATACCTGTATTTGCCATTTGACTAAATGGGCATATATGCTTGTGTGTGGATTCATATAAGAAGGTATGTACCCATTTATATGTTTTACCACGAGTGACATAATGTAAATGAATGTTTGTCTATTAACACGACCACATGAACAAATTAATCTGTGTGCCCATAATTATGTATGGATGTGTATCTAATACTGCAATTTCTGCTTTATGAAGAATTTAGTTATAACCACATACAATTAAGAATAAGATACATCCCATCCACAATCGCTCACTCAATGATCTTCAAAAGATCATATACCAAAATGTAATACATGCTTGTGATCAACTCCATGATCGTTGAAACTTCATATGCATTAATAACAATTAAAATTCCTTAATTTAGGACATGTGTGCCCATTTGACATAACATAATTCATAATAGAATCCTGCACTTGACCACCAGAAGGCAATGACTTTGAAAATGGCTTGGAGCGATTTCCTGTTCACACAAAACGATAAGATTTTCTTCAAAATGTGTCGATGTTGGCCAAACAGGGGGTACATTGACCACTATTGGCCAAACGGATGGGGGTGGATAGGCTTGGAGAGGGTGGAGAGAGAGAGAGATCGAGATTATCAGCATGTGTCCCCTAGGAAATGGTATCTGATGGGTCAACAAACTACTTGAGCCTACGTAAACTACTACTGTGGATGTTTTAATCCATATTACCCAGTTAAATCGTAATGCAATTTTATACTTTGATGATAAAACTCCGGGATAACTCATATCTGTTGCTTTCTTCTATAAGACATATCAATGGAAGAGTTACGTATCTTGTGAACTTGATATGAAAATGAATTAGTCACCCTCAATTATAAAGCAATTCCTCCAAAGCTGTAGAAGTATTTCAAGTGAAAATGGCATTTACAATGAATCAAGATTCAAAGAAGAGAAGAACTCTTTGAAACTTGATTCATTGTTAATGCCATTTGTATTCAATATATTTAAGTAGCTTAGCCATAAAAAGAAATGATCCCAAACAATTTTCTTAAAGAAACAAGAAACAAAAGATTGGGAGGAAAATCAAACAAAAAATTGCATTAACATTACTGCAAACGAGATTCTATGCCGATTCAAACAGATTAAGAAAGAGAAGGAATTAGGCCAGGAAAATTAGACTCACCCTCTTGGCTTAATAAATGAGGCGAAAGAGCAGCAAAAAGCAAGGTTTTAGTCCCAGGCTCCCAGCTTCACCTGTCCAAATGATATATAGAAAAGATGCTGCAACACCAGTTTTATTATCAGCATAAAGTAATAAAAAGTTACTTCACAATTTCAATAGTATAGACCAAGGGATACGCTTGATTGAAGATAGGAAGAGTTACTTCCACGATTTGAAGAATAAAAAAAAAGATGATTGGACCTTATTCTTGTTTTATAGTCTAAATAGCGTGGTTCAAATTCCAGTTTTTTTATTTGTGGCAATAATCTCAGACAAGTATTTTTTGACTTCTTACCACATTATTAGTAAGAATTCTAAGCAATACCAATTAAAAAGAAAATTCGAAAGCAGAAATATGCAAGCCAAGCCGATACATGCTTCATAGCTTGGATTAGATGATCAGTGGCACCACATTCCAACATTTAGCTAAGAACTTTGTTGGTATAAAAATAATGTAAGAGATTTACCCAAGATAGAGTGTTATGCATCAAAGTCTAATATATGAGCACAACACAATTTGTGAAAGTGCTGAACTTTAATATATGGGTGAGTACATACACCAGTTATATGAAGTAAATCATCCAAGATATGAAATCCAGAACCAAAAAAGAAGTGACATCTCAACGAGGCCACACATGAACAAAAAAGTAAACTTTCAACAAACATATGACATAGGACCAGTGTTCACAAAATCGGCCGATCTAACCACTGACCGCCCGGTTCCGGTTTTGGGTGGTTTTGATAATCAGCTGAGTTTCTAAAGTTTAAATAGAATGCTACTTCACATTTATATTAAATGTTTTAGAGTGGCGTATTGGTTAGCGCTGGTGACTATATGCGCTACGAATCGCGGTTCGAATCTCGCCATCAACAGTGTTCTTTTTAAACATTGGTGTGGTTCATTTTAACAATTATAATAAACCACAATTATTCTAATAATTAATTTCTTTTTAAACATTGGTGTGGTTCGTTTTAACAATTATAATGAACCACAATTATTCTAAGAATTCATTACATTGGTGAGTTAAAAAAATTTACTTACCCACAGGAATCGAACTTCAAAGTTCTTGTAAAGAAATAATTTGTTATTAAACCCACTAACCGCACCATATACTATTTAGTTGCCTATTAGATCTATTAACCAATATGTCATTTACTACGTATTTACAAGAAAGGCCTATATTGTATATAATTTAATTTTTTTCATTTTCTTTTAAGAGAGTTTGTCAAGTCGATTTTTTAACACTATTTTAATATTATGTACATTATGGTAAAGATTAAAAAAAATGTGGTAATTGATACTCACTTTTATAATATCCCATCTTGTTTAGAAAATTTTAAAAATACCCCTAGGCACAAATCGATTCGTTAAAATCTATTTTTTTCCATAATTTTCAACTTCATTTGAGTGTGTTTTGTTTTAATCACATTCTTTATATGTTTTTCATATTTTAGTAGATTTTTTTTTGTATATTTTTCATTTTTTTTAACGCTTTTTTTATCGTTCGGGACTTGCCCGGTTAGAGCGGTTGAATTGGCCGGTTTATTGGTTAGACTGGTTAAACTGCTTCTGGGTCCATGTCCAGTTAACCGTTTCGGTTCGATTTTGTGAACACTGCATAGGACAACACTAGTTATAAATGATAAGGACACAATATAACAGAATTGAAGCAACAAATGGCGTATATTTAACTTTCCATCTATAACATACATGCAAAAGAACAACAGATTTACAGAATACGCATAAGTTCTAATTTATGCTTAATATTGACACGATCTATTATTGACCATCAAATGTATAATATATGTACATGTTTGTATGCACTCATATTTCCAAAAAAAAAGTGTGCTCACAAACAAACATCTATACATGTATTTACCACATGACTAAATACGCATATGCGCTTGTGAGTGGATTCACACAACGCAAATATGTACCCATGTATATGTTTTACCACAAGTGGCATAATGTAAATGAATATTTGTCTGTTAACACGACCACATGAACTAATTAATCTATGTGTGTTCACAATTATGTATGGATGTGTATCTGATGCTTCGATTTATGCTTTATGAAGAATTTACTTATAGCCACACACAAATAGGAATAGGATACATCCGCTCCACAATCAATCATTCAATAATCTTGAAAAGATTATATACCAAAATGTAATCATGCTTGTGATCAACTCCATGACAGTTCAAATTGCATATACATTAATAGTAATTAAAATTCCTTAATTTAGGACATACACACCCGTTTGAATGAACAAAATTCATAACGTAATCTTGCACCTGACCACCAGAAGGCAACAACTTTGAAAATGCCTTGGAGCGATTCCCTGCTCACACAAAACAATGGGATTTCTTTCAAATGTGTCGATGTTGGCAGAACACGAGGCACATTGACCACTATTGGTCAAACAGGGGGGGCTGGGGGTGGAGAGAGAGAGAGATCTTACCACCATGTGACCCCTAAAAAATGGTATCTGATGGATCGACAAACTACTCGAGTCTATGGAACCTACTACTGTGAATGTTTAAATCTATCTTACCCAGTTTAATCGCAATACAGTCTCGTACCCTGATGATAAAACTCATGGATAACTCATAGATGTTGCTTTCTTACATAATACATATCAATGGAAGAGTTATGTATCATGTGAACATGTGATGAAAATGAATTAGTCACCCTTAATTAGAAGGCAATTCCTCCCACTATTATAGAAGTATGTCAAGTGAACATGGCATTCACAATGAATCAAGATTAAAAGAGGAGAACTCTTTGGAATTTGATTCATTGTCAATGCCATTTGTACTCAACATATTTAAGTAGCTTAGCCATAAAAAGAAATGATTCAAGTCAATTTTCTTAAAGAAACAGGAAACAAAAGATCAGGAGGCAAATCAAATAAAAAATTGCATTAACAATACTGAAAACGAGATTCTATGCCGATTCAAACAGATTAAGAAAGAGAATGAATTAGGGCAGGAAAATTAGACTCACCCTCTTGGCTTAATAAATGAGGCGAAAGAGCAGCAAAAAGCAAGGTTTTAGTCCCAGGCTCCCAGCTTCACCTGTCCAAATGATATAATAGAAAAGTGGCTGTAACACCAGTTGTATTATCAACATAAAGTAATAAACAGTTAGTTCACAGTTTCAATAGTATTGACCAAGGGATGCCTTTGATTGAAAACATGAAGAGTTATTCTCATGATTTGAAGAACAAAAAAAAAAAGATGACTAGACCTTATTCCTGTTCTATAGTTTAAATTGTGCGGTTCAAATACCATTTTTTTTGTTGTGGCAATAATCTCAGACAAGTATTTTTTGACCTCTTACCACATTATCAGTAAGAATTCCAAGTAATATCAATTACAAAGGAAATTGGAAAGCAGAATGTGCAAGCTAAGCTGATAAATGCTTCACAGCCTGGATTAGATGATCAATGGCTCCACACTCCAACATTTGGCTAAAAACTTTGATGGCATAAGAATAATGTAAGAGATTTACCTAAGATAGAGTGTTATGCATCAAAGTCTAATATATGAGCGCAACACAATTTGTGAAAGTGCTGAACTTTTGTATATGGATCAGTTCATGCAATAGTTATATGCGATAAATCATCCAAGATATGAAACCCAGAACCAAAAGAGAAGTGACATTCCATCGACGCCATGCATGAACAAAAAAGTAAACTTTCAACAAATATGTGACATAAGACAACACTAGATATAAATGATAAAGATACAATATAACAAAATTGAAGCAACAAATGGCATATATTTAGCTTTTCATCTATGACATACATGTAAAAGAACAACATATTTACAGAATAGTCATAAGTTATAATTTATGCCTTATATTGACACGATCTATTATTGACTACCAAATGCATGGTGTATGTACATGCTTGTATGCACTCATATTTCAAAAAAAGAAGAAAAAAGAGTGTGTTCACAAACAAACATCTATACATGTATTTGTGACATGCCTAAATGTGCATATGCGGTTGTGTGTTGATTCACACAACGCAAGTATGTACCCATGTATTCATTTTACCACCAGTGGCATAATGGAAGTGAATGTTTGTCTGTTAAGATGACCACATGAACAAATTAATCTATGTGTGTCCACAATTATGTATGGATGTATATCTGACACTGCAATTTCTGCTTTATGAAGAATTTAGTTATAACCACACACAAATAGGAATAGGATACATCCCATCCACAATCAATAACTCCTTGATCTTTAAAAGAGCTTATACCAAAATGCAATACATGCTTGTGATCAACTCTATGATTACTAAAACTGCATATACATCAATAGAAATTAAAATTCCTTAATTTAGGACATGTATGCCCGTTTGAAGGAACATAATTCATAACGGAATCATACACCTGACCACCAGAAGGCAATGGCTTGGAGCAATTTCTTGCTCGCACAAAACTGTGGAATTTCCTTTAAAATATATCGATGTGGGCTAAACGGGACCACTATCGGATAATCAGATATATCGACTCATCCAAATGTGTCATTAATTTTGAAGCATTAATAGTAAATGCATTATTAATCTTGAATCTGAAGCAGTTCAAATGAAAAGAGCAGGTTCAACTATTTGTCGAAATATTTCGGCATTAGCCAAATGGGGGATGTAGCCCCACATTGAAACTTGTCAGATAAGAAGACATCTTTCGTAAATATGCATCTTGTTTAAATGTAGCATTAATATTAAAGCTTTAGCAGCAAATGCAAAACACGTGTGATTAAGAATCACTGGATTAGACCAAATATTGTAGCTTATTAGCCAAGTGTTTGCAAGTTGAAGTCAGAGGATGTGTTAAGATCCCGCAATATCCTAACCACATAGCACAAGGGGCCCAATGCCGAAATTATCTCACTATTCCTATACTTCAAATAACATTAATCGAAAGTGCATTAACAACATAACACTGAAGAGACAATATAGAATGACATCCATAGTGGGTAAATGAAAATACTCAATATTACTCGCAAGTGGAAGACAAGTAAATGACAACAAGAGACAGAGCCATTATGAGCGAACATCGAATATTCTAGTGATAACCATGCTCGTTTTTTCATGCATTTTCAGTATGTATTCGTGTAACCACATGCATTTTCTATTACAACATATGTAACACTTATATAGAAACACATGCATTTTCTATTACAACATATGTCGCACTTATATAGAAACACATGCATATTTTATTACAACATTTGTAGCACTTATATAGAAACACATGCATTTTCTATTACATCTTGACCAAGCTCAAAATTCTAAAGAATTTTCTCGAACATTGCGACAAACCCAAGCTATCAGATTTCACATCTAATGATTGTAAATAATTGTGACCTCCCATGTACTAAAGATAAAATAGTATCATTGTATACAATATCAAAATATTAACTTTCAAAATCTCAAATAGAGGCAATTTGAAAGTAAAATAAAATTAACAATAGGCTTGATAATACTTTCAAGGAGCTTTATAATGGGAAAGGTTTCTGTGCTTCTCCTACAACATAGAAAATCTATGTTTACCTTACCATCCAGTTGTTCAATTTTGATCAAGTGAGTCACTCATCATTTGATCTTAGATCCGACGCCTCAAAGTATTTTATTTTTAATTTTTTTATACAAATTGCATGAATATGAAATTTGGTATGTGCTATCTTCTCATTAGGGCGCACCTATAAAAAAGTATTAAAAATAATTTTTTGCCAAAATATAATGACCAAAATACCCCTTTAATATTTCAGGGGTATTTTGGTTATTTTATTTTATTGGAAACATTTTTTTATATTTTTACATGTGCGAGTTTAATAAAGGATTGGACGCTCAAACTTTGGTTTTAAAATAGTTTATATAAAAAACATAAAAAATAAAAAATAAAATGGTGTAGAGACGTGACATTGTGATTGATACAATCTTAGCCCTCCATTCAGAATGGACGGTTGGATAAGGAGAAGTACATAACTTTAGGGAAAATTGCATAAAACGCTGAACGGGCACTCCAGTAATATAACCACCAGACCGAAGATTTAAAACATTGGACCACCATACTCCAGTAAGACATCTCCTGTACCGCCAATGTGAAGTGCCAAATTGCTTCAATAAGTGTCGAACCGCACCTTTGAAATGCCGGACTTGCCACAACAGTAAGATATCCGCCGGATCGCCCCTCTGTAAGTGTCAGATTGATTTAAGGGAGTGTTAGACCGAAGCTTTAAAACGTTGGACCGCTGTACTTCAGTAAGATATCGCCGAACCACCACTGTGAAGTGCCGAATTGTTCCACAATAATGCCAAAATGATGCTTTGACTTGCCAAACTGTCTTTCTACTAGAGATAATTCTGTTGGATCGCCCCTGTGAAGCGTCGGAGCGCCCTGATACTAGTGACAGATTTGCCGGACCGCGATACTTAATCCGGCGTAGTTATATGGTCCCTTTTCAACATGAGAGAAACTAGATTTGCATACTAAGTTTCGTTTTGATTGGCTTGAAACTTGTTGGAACGCGACGAAACTTTATGGGTGTCCTTAAGGCATAAAAAAATACCCTCTCATACAATTTGAGGCCGATCCGACACTTTTTCCAATATTACCCAATAGGTTTATTCTTATAGTGCTCCCGTGGTTTGACAGTGTTTTTTGCACTGGTAAGACCAGTCGTGACTAGCTCTCTCCTTATGTGTCCCAGGGATATAAGTATGTCAAAAATGTAGTATAACAACCACATGTTAGCCTCTAGGTTGTATAGGATCGCCACCTTCATGTTTTTAGATATTGTTTCCACACGTAGAACCTTGTAACCGATTTCCACCACAGGAGGGGCGGGGGGGGCTACAGACGAAGACCATAATCCTAAGTCATAGAACCTTGCAGCATTCAAACCCTAGACCTTGACCCCATAGAACCCAGTTTTAAGACCCCTACTCTAGCTGATTCCAGAGATAAAAATGAATCACTTTAAGTCATCGAAATCCCTAGATGTAAATTCTTAAGCGTCCCTCTCTACTTCATGGTGCAATCAATCATTCAATTAAAGGTAACTTGTAAGCGTCGATCCTTGTGATGCGTTGACAAATATAGTTGTGTTGACTCAATAAATGAGATAAGCTCGAGTGCGTTGAAGCAGTTCTAATTTGATAGGTTTTTTTGGTAGTTGCCCAAATTTCTTCCTCAACCAAGTATATTTAAGACACTAAGCTTATCACCTTTAAGGAAATCTCCCAAATACTCCATGATGAAAGCCCTGTAGTCTTTAGGTCTGATGCCGTTACATGCTTTCAGGTCACAGGTATCCTTAATATATGCCACACAACGTACATGGTTGGAGTCAACTTACCAATAGTTAAATGTGCGGTATTTGTCACCTTGCATCATTTCCCTATAATGGCCGTTAATAGACTGCAATTGATATGGGATACCTCAATGTCTATCAAGGAGCTCACTTTTGTCTTTTCAATCAAAGCTACCTGTCGTGGATCTAACTCTTATTTTCTTAGGGTCTTAGTTGATTCATTAATAAAAAAAAAAAATTCTTCTGAAATGAAGTTCAATAAGAATGACATTGATTATTAACAATATAAGAATTACTTAATTAATATAAATCATGAACTAAAGTAAATAAACTATCGTACCTTTTCCTTGTGATCGGGAGAAGTGAATGGGTCTCTTGCTCCTCTTAACTATTTTGGGTCTTGCATCGCTAAATCTATTTATATTATCAGAGTTTTACATATACACATCACATCAATTTTAAGAGAATATGTACATATGAATTGGCAAAAAATAACCACAAGTGGATGCTCCAACCAAAACATAAAAAGAATAATATATGTACTAATAAAAAAGAGAATAATAAAAGAAACAAACATAAGTATATGTGTCCCAAAAGCACAAAATAAACATTAGTGGAACAAACACTAAAAACAAACACCATTAATATTTGTACTAACAAAATCTCCTATAAGTGGGTACTACAAATTAAAAAGACAAAATAAAGAATATAAGTACAAGTATATGCCTTCAAGTGGGTACTTTACATGTTGCCTTGTTATGACCACTTCCGTTGCACATACTACAATGAATATGTCGTATTGGTACTTCTTGCGACTCGATGCACTTCTTTTAGGTCCCCCACGGGGGCACCTTGAGTGAGTTGGAAGCACTCTTAATCCCTCTAGAGGAAGCTGCGTAAACTACGTCCAGACAAGTCGATCAAGGTAACTTGCATGATAGCTACAGAATATGTTTCACGAAATTTTACAACTGTGAAATATTCTTCATAATAGTCAACGAGATCCCTATCCATTCCTTGAAGGGCTTTACAAGCATGCTTACAAGACAAACCCATTATTTTCCAACCCTGGCATTTACATTCTAGTGCAATAATATTTGCCTTATAATTCATGTGGTCACCCGTTGCTTCATACTTCGTGCTTCTAGAATTGGCATATCACGTGCTTATGTAATCCTATTGTTATATGACTCAGCCATATTGGTTGGTACTTGGTCATATCGATTACCCTTGAACTGTGATGTGACCCAACGGTTTGGTGATGCTTCCATGAACCACTTGAATGATCTAATTTCTATCATCTTATCAAAATACTCTTGCTGCTTATATGCTCTGATAAAGCCACATACAACTGCCTTCTTAACATCATTAAGTATGTGTTTTCGTTTTGAAATTCTCCGCTAAATAACGCTCACAGAAGGTATGATGGGCATTCTAAAAAACTTGACAGACAGTATCAACTAAACCAGGGTATCTATCTGACAAAAAAGTAATTTCACGATCCATCCCAATAATAATATTTAAAGATTCCATAAACCATAATCAGTTATCGGTACTTTCGACATCCACAATTGCCAATGCAATGAGAAACATTTGTCCTTTCCCATCGAGTGAGTTGGCAGTAAGTAGAGTCCCAAGGTATCGTGCCTTCAGTGATCTCCTATCGAGAAATAGAAGTGGATGACATCAATTTTTGAAGCCATGTATTGACCCATAAAAGCTTAAAAACAATCGACGAAATCTACCACCTAGCCATACTTGTCCTGTCGCATAACTACCAAGATTCGTCTCCATCACACAATTTACATATGCTGGTCTAGTTTTTTTCCTCACCAAGCTTTCAAATAGGGTAATTCTAACCCATAATCTCGAGACAAATCGCTCATGATTTCTTTAGCCTTGCAATGCGCAGTGTCACAATTTATCCTTGAATAAGGATGCAACAAATTTATGTGACGCTCTTTTCTGTATATCGTTGCTTGCCCCAATATTGCATGAGTGATCTCTTTTCCATGTTTTGATTCTAAAAACCTTCATCCCGCCAAGCTTCGCAGCATATATCTCCTATTTGCATCCATCACTCTTACATTTTTCCCTTATGCGATACCTCTCACTTTTAACAAGACGGTATGTGAAGTGATTTGCTATAACAAACTTGTTAAGGGCTTCTCGAAAATCTTCTAAAGATTCAAACTGCTGCCCTATCCCAGAAAGTGCATCCTCCCATATGCTAAGCAACCTTGGTGTGTTGTTTTGTTCGGAGTCAAATACCAAAACATTCGAGGATTGTGGCGGTCGGACCTCTTCGGCTGCTATAGTATTATGTGAAGTACTTCCACCCTTATGTTCACTCCCATCAAATACATAAATGAACACTTGATTCTCGCCTTCATGGGCATTCAACATCCTAATAATATCATGTTCACAATAAAATTTTTATTTCTCAAGACAAAATACTTCAAAGATATCAAGTGGATGTCAAGTGAGTACCGCTTTGCTACGTATTTTCACATGTCATCTAACTTAGTTCTATTGTCAATCATAAATGTACATGCATCACTACCAATATAATCTAAAGTCCCATTGACACTTAATCGGAGTTCTCCACAAAAAGTACAATAAATCAATCTGTTATCACCCATTTTCTTTTGTCCTTTACAAGATTTGTAATAATTTACACTTCATATATTGCATTACAATATCTTAATACTAGTTTTGAGCTTGTGGAAGTTTGGCAGGCTGCTAGATTTTCTTTGAAAGAGCTACAATTAAATTTTAATAAGAGGTAGGCATATTGTTGGGGGGTATATAACCTACAAAAACAAGAGCTACTACTAAAATTAACAAGAGCTAGGCGCACACACACACACACACACACACACACACACACACACACACACACACACACACACACACACACACATATATATATATATATATATATATATATAATGAAAAACTAAATTTGAACAAGAGAAATAGGATGGATCATTCATATCCAAAATTTATAGCACAACAAATCCAAAAATTACAACCCACCAATAACATTCAAGCCCTAAAATTACAATAGAGAAAAAAAGTTTTAATAAAGATGATAATCAAAATGATAACCGAAACGATAAACGATAAAAAATAGAGAGGATGCCACATTCAAGCAATCTAAAATAAATTTACAATAGGGAATAAAAATTTACAACTACCAATAACATCCAAGCCCTAAAAGATACCGCATTCAAACCAACATCTGTTCTTTTAAATAGTTTTAACAGAGTGGATAATCGAGAGTGAGAAACAGATGCACATAGATTCAATTCTCCTCTCCGATTTAAATCTAACATGCACGAAGAATCTATCTAGCCACGAGAGGAATGTGACAACAATAATAATTTGCCTAAATAAAATCCAAAAAAGTAAAATTTCGTGTGGGATCGAAGAGAAAACAAATGGAAATGTAAACATTATTGAAAAAGAGAATATGGGAATGATTTGGGGCAAAGAATATAACAACAATTTATTTTTATTTTTATAAAAAATAAATAAAATATTCTTTCATACTTTTGATGAGGCTGATTTGGGGCTAAGAGATCGAGCTCGAGCTTTGGGAGCTTGGGCTGGGGCTGAGAAATCGATAGCCCGAGATGAGTCACAGAGTCAGTGAGAGATCGGGCAGTGGGTCCTTCGTAGAGAGAGAGCGAGAGATAGGATGAGAGCTCGGGCCTTGGATTTGGGTAGAGAGATCGAGAGAGGGTACATTCTCGGGCTACGATATCCTTCGTAGAGAGAGAGGGAAAATCTCAAGCCTGCTTCGGGAGAGAGAGCGAGAGAGAGGGAGCTCGGGCTTGGTTTGGGGGAGAGAGATCGAGAGAGAGGGAGCTCAAGCCTGGTTTGGGGGAGAGCAAGAGAGAGGGAGCCCAGGCCGATGTGGACAGAGAGAGAGCGAGAGATAGGCAGACATAGTGGGTCTTCAGTAGAAAGAGGTGATGATAAATAATGGATTAGGTCAACATGTGGGGTAAAAGAGGGGTATTTAGTTTTTGTTTTTTTTGAGTTTGGGGGTTATTTGCTAGGAAACATGGTTTCAGGGAAAAAGTTGCTAAAAAAAAGTTAAGTTAGGAATAAATTGCTTAAAAAGTTCATTTTTGAGGGGTTTTATGTCGATTCCCTTATTTTTATGCTTATGTTTTGGGTTTTATACGGTATCCCTGAGTTTTATGTTGTACGGAAGCATAGAAAACTTGCCCTATAATAAAGATTTCTTTGTGGGCCATTAATATGAATTCTCTTCCTTAAGAGAGAGAGAGAGAGAGCGCGATATTTATGCTACATACCATCGAATGATATCGACAACATGTTCCAAGATCAACAATCCAAAAACAAATTCATAGCCATCACCAAAAAGAGGCACCAAAAAAAATAAAAAGGAAAAGCCATGTAAGATAAAAGAAAAAAAAAAAACAAAACCTGAAACAACCCTCTAAATTCATCGATTACAAAGAGAAGGGAACACAGCCAGCTTAACATTCACAATCTCCACAATCCGAGTGTCTGTAGTAATCGTCGCAAAATCCATCATCATCATCACAACTACAAATTATCAGAGTCGTATGAGAACCAGGGCCCGGGTTTTCGAATTATAGATAGTTTAGCAACTATGCATATTAAAATGCATAATATGAAAAGAAGCAAAAGTAAAACAAAAACAACTAGGGGCTTGAAAGGAAGGTGAGGCATCCATGTACCGTGTTTTCTTAGACCCATCTCTCTCTCTCTCTCTCTACCTTATTTTCTCTCTCTAAGAATCACAGCATATGATATGATCTCCTGTGCATGCATAACCACCTTTATATATCAGTTCACAGTTAGATATAAGCTTTTCTTTCCCCTCTCTCTCTAGAAAACTTCCAATTCTCTGTTTTTTTTTACTCTCTTGTAAACTTGGTTTTTTTGAACGTTAGTTAAAATTCCTTTCTTCTTGCCAGGAGTAAAAACTCTCTTCGGAAAGTTTCTATTTTGAAAGCTTAATCTCAAATCTAGATGTTTAAAAGTCAGACGTAGCTCTAAACAACAACTTCGGACCTTGATCTGAGATTGATATTGCCAAGAAAAATTAACAGAAAGTATCAAACATTAATCTCAAATCTAGATGTTTAAAAGTCGAAGTTTGGAACAAAAACCAACTAAAGGTCTCAAACATTTAAGATATTGAATGTCCAAAATTTATATTTATATAAAAAAAAACAACAAAAAACAGCATTGAACATCCGAAGTTGATGTTTGTAATAAAAAAAGATCCAATGGTTAAGTTAAAAAAGGAAAAAAAGAAAAGAAGTGAACTTTTAATATGAGCAAAAACATTTTAAACTTCACCGTCAAAGTCCGAAGTAGGGACAATTAAGAAAAATTTTAAAAAATCGAAAAAGGAATTATGAGTTCTTAAATAACAATAATTTGCACAAATTTCTCTGTAGAAAACCTTCTATGTTTACAAAGGTTTTGCTTCTCTATTAGAAAACAAGCACGAATACTCATTCTATAATTTACAACCACAAAAAGACCATAAACTACAAAAAATTATGTGTATAGTTTCCACAATTTAAGCTATTTAAATTCATCTAATTTTTCTTTTTATTTTTACATTCACACTTCTTTTTTCCAAAAAAATACCAGATATTCAAAATCTAAAAATTATAAAAAACAACTAAATCACAAAATGTATATAATATTGATTCTTGAAAATCCAAAATGAGAAATTTAATCTTTTTAAAAAAATTGAGAAAAGAAAGGAACGAAGATAAAAGAAGTAAAAATTTAGATAAGTTTTAAATAGAATGAATTATAGGGGTTATGAGCGTGATTTTCTCTAGAAACTTGATGCAGATCATGATTGCTACAAAATTTTGATTTTATTTTTATTAGGGTTAATTATTACAAATAGGATTTTTGTGTTAGTTTGATAAAGTCTATTTTTTTTAGACAAGTGCATTTTTTAGAAGTATAAGTCTTTGTCTTTTTTAGGTTCGTTTTACTTTCTTTTGCATGGTTTATTTTTAGGAAGATTCATCTTCAAATAGGAAAATCCGTGAATTGAAGGAAGCTTATCTATTATTACTATTATTATTGGTGTTATTATTAGAGAAATTTATGTAAATGTCTATTTTATTTTCTGTTATTTTCAAAAGACTTAAAACTATCGATATTATCAAAATGCTTAAAACAGTCCATTTTTTTTCTTCATAACATTTTTTTTTTTTTCAAAAAAAAAGGCCCAATCGCTCATTTTCGATTTTTCAAAAACCGATATGGGCCCAAATTTGGTTTTTGAGAAACCGAATATGAAGGCCTAAATTTTCTATGCGTCACACGCAAAATTTCGACATTCTCTCTTTCTCGTGTTTCATCCTTGATTTTGGTTTTTAACATAGCAGCCTCATGTCTAGTTTTAGTGACCATTTATGCTCAATTTGTACTCTTTCTCTATCTGCTTCCTCCTCAATGATTCTCTCTCTCTCTCTCTCCTTCTTCCGCAGTTAACCTTTTTAGTTTCTAGTGATCATGGGGTCTCTCTCTCAAGAATGTTCAAAACTCAAGTCTCTCTCTAAATTAATTGTTCAAAACCCAAACATGTCTAGTTTCTGCTAGTTATCTCCAAATGATTCAGTTCTAGATCGTAAAAATAATCCTAATTCAAGCTAACTCCCCTATCACATTAACGGCAAAGTTCATATCAGCAAAAAAGCTACCACAGATATCTACGTTCCTCTGCAAAGTTGTCCTAATCGTTTTCTGACAAGGAGAGGGAGAAACCCTAAACCTGCTAGCGTTTCTGGTCATTATGGAGAAATCTAGTTTTTATTTGGTCTGTTTCGTTTTTGGTAAAGAAGAGCCCAATTCTACCAAGTTTTCTTCTAATGGCCTCAACAGGATCCAGTCTAGCCCAGAAAAAACTTCCATGAACCAGTAGAAGTGAGCTTACATGGATTGACATGACACATAACTACTATCGAAACATAAAGTGGAGGTAAAGAGAGAATGTCGAAACTTGTGTCCGTTGTGTGAACTGTGAAAAGAGAGAGCATGCCAAAAAACACGTAGAGCATTCAAGGCCTGTTATACGGTTTTTGAAAAATAAAAAATAGGTAATTTGGTCTTTTTTAAAAAAAAATCGTCACGAAGTCCAACAAAAGGGACATAAATAATAACATAAAGTTTTAAATATTTTAATAATAATGAACAATAAAATAGATATTTATATAATTTTCCCTTATTACCTACTATCTTTGTCTAGGGTCATGAGATAATAAACTAGGGTCATGAGATAATAGGAAATGTTTTACAAGGTAGTTATCTTTTAGTAAAGGAAAGAGAAGCGCGATGGTTAACGTGGGTGGAATAAGTAATAGTATATTAGTATTATCTTTTTTAGAAGGAAGATGGAAATAATCTAAAGGTAGATCTGTTTTAGTATCACTTGTGGGTTTTTTTTTTTACCGAGGGATATATATTACAGGTTATGTTTTGAGAATGACGTGAGATGGAAATCTACCTATCAAGATTAAGGAAAAAGTTTATATAAGGAGTTAACCTTATAATGTACAAGTAGGGTACACCCGAGAAGAGTTTCCCTAATTTGTAAAACCTTTAAATTTATCATTTTGGCTTCGAAATTCATAGATATGAAAAAAAAAAAAAAAAAAGAATTTTTAGTCCTAAAATAGTTCATCTTCTAACACATTACCTTTTATTTTCAAAATTTTCAAGTCGTCATAGATCTACTTGATCATCACTATTTCTGGAACTTTAAATATCATGATTTGGGGTAGCAATAAACTTTTATATCATCACAAGACTTTGCACCACCAAAATTGCATTTTCAGCATAGTTTTGAGTTATACTACAATTTTCGGCTAGTTTTGAGGTGCACCTAACTTCAATAGTATAAGGTTTACACCTTATACGAAGGGAGGTGCACCTTACTTTAATAGTATAAGGTTTACGAACCTCACCGTAAGGTGTAGGTCAGGGGATATGAGGTGTACCTTACTTCTTTTTTGGATGAGTAAGTAATAAGTGAGTGGGCATTTGGGCCCCTACCCATTTGGTAAGGGTGAAAATGCCCCTACCCTTTGATGAGGGTGAGAATGGAGTCAGTGAGCTCACCATGTGGTTCGGCAACACAGCCTCTAAGGCCCCGTGCTATTTTCGTAAGGAGTTTTTAAAAGCAAGTTGTAAAGTGGATAAAAAGAAGGAAGCGAGTACAATGTAAGGTGGAGAATTTTTTGACATGAAATAAAAAAAGTGATATTTTACCAATCGTGTAGAGAGAGATAGAGTGGCTCCTTCTTATGGGTGTTTTTTTTTTTTTGTTGTACTTGTAGGCTCGTAGGGGAATATTCGGATCTGCATGTTTGTCCCTTCCACTGACGATTTTCTTATCGGTTTTTCTTCCTGGGGACTAACACCCTATTTCTCAATTTTTCTTGTTGGAGACTAACGCCCTGTAAAAATAAATGTGTTTTTAGATGACAAAACACGAATTCGGCTTTTCAAAAATCAAATTTAGTCTTTTTTCGGTTTTTTGAAAACCAAATTTAGTTGATTTTCAGTTGTTAGTTTTTGCAAAATTGAAGACGCTTATTTTTGAATTTTGAAAAATCGAAAATTTTAAACATTTCAGTTTTTGAAAAACAGAAAATAGCAATTTCTTTTTTTTTATTTTAAAATGTTAATGAACTTGAAAAAAATGTATAGATTT